AAATCATTAAATTTCTCAATGAAGAATGCTCAAACAGTGAAGATGCCAACCTACACTCTTCAACTTTTTGTCACAAGGCTAATTCAAAGTCTGCCCTCACATCTAGTAAAAATTACTCCAAACCAAGCACCCGCTATACTGCACTTGTAAGCTTAGATGATCACTCCACTTCTGTAAAGACATTTCCATCATGCTTTGCCTGTCAACAAACCGATCACAAAATCTACATGTGTAAGGTTTTTGCTAAGAAATCTCCAAACGAGCGTTACAAACTTGTAAAGGAGCAAAATAAATGTATTTCATGTCTTGGCAATCACACACTCAAAGATTGTCGCTCAACAGGCACATGTCTTAAATGTAAACAAAAACACCACACCTTGTTACATTTCGAAAATGTTGTAAAGTCGGTGCAGCCTCCTCCTATAGCCAAACCCTCAAAACCTTCAATTGCTACACCTTCTGTAGTCGCTTCTGCTCAACCAGAAATGTCGCTCTCGATTTCTCAGCCAGCAACTACGGTACTTCTAGGCACCGCTCTCATTAAAATTACCGCTACTAATGGAATCTCTCATGTCTTTCGATGTCTGCTCGACAGTGGAAGTCAACTCAACTTCATGACAGAGAGGGCAGCACAGCTATTAAACGTCTCTCGTCACCGCTCTACTCACACAATCGTGGGAATATCTGCATCGCAATCCTCGACAAAGGGACATGCACTCCTAGAACTATCCACACTAGGTAGTGAAGTAATTGCTTCAAATCAACCTTTCCATATTCTAGATAGAATTTCCGCTCCTTTGCCTCGTACTCAACTTTCTTTTGAGGTTTACAAACTGGTAAAACCTTTTGTCCTCGCAGATCCGACCTTTCATATTCCTCAGAATATTGACATTCTGATAGGAGGTGCTTTGTTTCCAGAACTTCTTACTCATCAATCCTACCCATTGGGCTCAAACCTTCCATTCGTTATTGGAACACGATTGGGATTTGTGTTAATGGGCAATGCACCAACTTTGTCTAACTCTTCTCCCACCTCATGCCATTCATCTCTACTCTCCACTACGGACGAGCTACATAATACTCTACTTCGCTTTTGGCAACAAGAAGAGGTACCGCAGTGCAATCTTATCTCTGAAGACGATCGCATCGCTGAAGATCACTTCAAATCAACTCACTCCCGCTCTCCAGATGGAACATATGTGGTTCGACTCCCTTTCAAGGACCAACATCAACCACTGGGCACTTCAAAATCTGCTGCTGAACATAGACTTCACTCAATTGAACGAAAGTTTGAATCCAACTCTAATTTCAAGGTATTGTATACACAGTTTATGACTGAATATGAACATCTCGGACACATGGTCAAAGCATCCCCTTCCGATCTTTCGCAGCCACACTACTATTTGCCTCATCACGGTGTACTGAAGGAAACCAGTAGTACAACCAAACTTCGTACAGTTTTTGATGGTAGTTGCAAAACCAGTACCGGTGTCTCACTAAATGATATTCTTTTAACCGGTCACAAACTTCAGATTGACATTTGACATTTTGTTGAATTTTCGTTCACATAATTATGTGTTCAGTTGCGATATAAGGAAAATGTATCGTTGCATTCAAGTTCATCCTGACGACCAGAAGTATCAGTTAATTTTATGGCGTGATCAAAAGACTCGAGAAATCTCCACATACAAATTAACAACAGTTACATACGGTCTTAGCAGTTCACCTTTCCATGCCATCAGAACGTTACATCAACTTGCTGACGACGAAGGAGGGTCCTTCCCAGCAGCAGCCAAAGTTCTACGGGATAATACGTATGTGGATGACGTCATCTGTGGAGCTCATACACTCAACGAAGCTAAGCAACTACGAGATCAGCTGATTGAACTTCTTGCACGTGGTGGTTTTGAGCTAAGAAAATGGACATCCAATTGCCCAGAAATACTCCAAGATTTGCCTCAAGATCATCTAGAAACACCAGTCTTTTTGGAAGCCACTAATCACCCTCATTTTGCCATTCTTGGACTAAATTGGTCACCCATTTCAGATTGTTTCACTTACAACTTAAGTCTCCCTGATGGTCCTCCTACAAAACGATCAGTGCTGAGCATTATAGCACGCATTTTTGACCCTACCGGTTTTTTGTCACCCGTGACCATGTGGGCAAAAACCCTCATGCAAATACTCTGGTCACAGGGTATCCAATGGGATGACACTCTTCCAAATGAACTCGCCGAAAAATGGCACATATTCGTTGATGAAACCTCTCTACTTTCAAGTATTAAGATCCCTTGCTCGTTCCATTTCACTACCACATGTTTCTTACAATTCCATGGATTTTCAAATGCCTCCGAAGTAGGATACTCAGCAGTTTTATACTTCCGCTGTGAGTTTTCAACTGGAGAAATCATCACTCGTCAGATTCTCGCAAAAACACGTGTAGCTCCTTTGAAACGTGTTACTCTACCCCGCTTGGAACTATGTGGTGCATACTTACTTGCAAAACTCACAACCTACTGTTGTACAATTTTCAAAGAAAAGATTGACCTTCCTCAAACTACATTGTGGTGTGATTCATCAGTAACCCTCACTTGGTTACACACCCCCTCATATCGACTTAAAACGTATGTTGCCAACAGAGTTGCTCAAGTCCAAGAATTGATCCCCTCTCACTCCTGGCGCTACGTTCCCTCAACAGACAACCCCGCTGATTGTGCGTCACGTGGTTTGCTTCCCGCTCAACTCATTGATCATCCTCTATGGTGGAATGGCCCTCCATGGTTAACTCTTTCAGATGATCATTGGCCATCTAATCGCTTCGTTCCCATCAACTTGCAAGACACTCAAGAATGTAAAACAACTCCTCTAAATGTCCTAGTTTCAACCCAACCTCCAGAATGGGATCTTCTCTCCAAGTACTCATCGTGGTCCAAACTACTTAGAGTAACAAGCTATGTCTTGCGGTTTATCCACAATGCACGTAGCTCTGACCGAAGACATGGGCATCTCACCGTCTCTGAACTTAAGAACTCAGAGCGTACCATCATCAAGTGTGTACAAGCTACATGTTTTACGAATGAATTGACTCTACTTCACAAAAACAAACCCAGTACCTCTAATCTTCAACGTTTAGACCCTTTTCTGGATGCTTCCGGCATAATTCGTGTGGGAGGCCGGCTTAAGAAGCTATCGCTGAAATTCAACGTCAAACACCCAATAGTACTTCCAAAGAAGCACCATATCGTTGATCTTCTCATAGACTTTGTCCACACTACTCACTTACATTCCGGACCACAACTGACCCAAGCAATCCTTTGCCAAAACTATTGGATTCTTTCGGCTCGTCGAGTCATACGGACACGTATTCATAAATGTGTAAAATGTTTCAAAGTGAAACCAAAGAACATCACTCCACTCATGGGAGATCTTCCTACCGCAAGAGTAACTCCAGCTCGACCATTTACTACCAGTGGCGTTGACTATTGTGGCCCTTTTGACATGAAAGTTGTCAATCTCCGCGGAATGCGTCATATCAAAACCTACATTTGTGTTTTTGTTTGTTTTGTGACAAAGGCAGTGCACTTAGAAGTTGTAGAAGATTTAACAACTGAGGGATTCATCGCTGCACTCACACGATTCATCTCCCGAAGAGGATTCTGTAAAGATATCTATTCCGACTGTGGCACGAACTTCATATGGCCCTGATTCTGCACTGCGTCGAACAATCAAAAACACTCTGCGCACCAAAGAATCTGAAGAACAACTATTGCATTTCACTTCATCCAGGAAAATAAATTTCCATTTCAATCCTCCTGCTTCGCCCCATCAAGGTGGTCTATGGGAAGCAGCAGTGAAAAGTGTCAAATACCATCTGCGCCGTGTCATGGGTGAACACATTCTTACTCTCCTAGAATTCATGACTCTGACTACACAAATAGAGGCAATCCTCAATTCCCGTCCTTTGACACCATTATCTAACGACCCTAATGACTGTTCAGCACTCACTCCAGGACATTTCCTCATAGGATCTCCGCTGGCATCAATTCCAGAAGAAGACCATGCTGATATTCCACTAACTCGGCTCAAAAGATGGCATCTAGTACAAGCTCTCCACCAAAGGATTTGGAAGCGCTGGCAACTAGAGTACCTTCATACACTCCAGCAACGATCCAAGTGGACTCATAAGACAGAAAACATAAAAGTTGGAGATCTAGTCTTGATCCACTCTTCATCGCCTCCTTTGTCCTGGCCCCTTGCCCGTGTCACACAGTTGCATCCTGGCACAGATGGACAAGTCAGGGTTGTTGATCTGAAGACTCAACACGGTTACCTTACTAGACCAGTTGTTAAAGTGTTCCCTCTCCCTCAAAACTAAGCCATACAACTTAAAAAGACCTGTAAATAGCTGTAAATAATATTCAGAATATTCTTCAGTGCTCCGTTTTTTGTACAATTTTGTGTTCATTGTTATAAAACTATCGTTTTATGGAGGCCGGTATGTTCAGTAAAAGGCCAGCTGACCATATGAGCATAATCTCCACATGTCAACAACAATACAATAATAAAAATTTGAAAATGTAAACATTCCAAGGTAAACATTCTGGTTCAAAAAGTGCAATTTTTCTCTCTTGTAATATCGTTTCTTTGTGTAACATAATTAATTTCTCTCTCCTTTTATTTTGACTTATGCCATTTACCTTTTCCTTTTGTGTTCATTAAATAAACCTTTTTTAATTTGACTAAATTCTGTGTACCGTGAGAACATTTGGACATTCATGAAACATATCTTCTCAACTAGAGACAACATTCGACCAGATCTTCTTTCAAGACCTTAATAACGTCAAAGTGGTAACATAACTATAGTTCAGTGTTAAAAATTAAACCAAAAGTCCATTATTTTCTGTTGTCAAAATTAAATTAATAACCCATATACAGTCCACTTTATTATTTCTACAATAACCTTTTGATTACGCTACAGTATGAGATGTGAATTTACTTGCCTTCCACTGGTGGGCTCTCTTCAGTCATCACTTCTGCCACCTCTTCAACTTCTTGTTTAGTTACTCCATGAATACGCTTGCAAGCGCTTTCATGCTTTTTCAGCCCCTGGCATAAAAGGGAATATATTAGCTATGTATGCACTGACAAGACTAGTTGTTTTATGATTGATAATAACTATAAAAATACACTAAAAGGAGGGAAAATATGATATACTTGCCTCATAAATAGAAAATAATCATAGTCAGAAAATAAAATTATGGCTGTTCTAATGACTATATAAAATTACAGTTGACCTGAGACACCAGTATCAAATAAGTAAAATAAAAGAAAAATAATCATCAGTTAAAGAGTTGAAACACAAACAATCCAGTTAGCTCGTTAAAAAACCCCAAAACAAAAAAAAATCAAAACAGAACATATGCAATGTTCTATACGGTTTCAGTTGCAATTTTAAGAACAAAAGATTATAAACAAATAAAGACTAAAGATAAATTTTACCATAATATTATAACTATTAATAGGTATTTTTTAAATTTACAATATTTTAAAATTATTTTCAAAGATTAGAGGATGGTAATATTTTATTCTGAAGAAAAATGAGGTTTAAAAATGTATTTTAAAAAGTTTAAGAATTAGTGTTTAACCAATGCTAGATTTGATTCATAACCAATTTTACACATTTTTAGGCTGGTTAGATTTACAAAAATTTTATTTTGAACTTAACAGTTGCCTAAATTAAAAAATCGTTTACAATATTGCAACAGCATGGATGGAAAGATTGCACAATGATGATTTGGGGTTTAAAATAAGTTAATCTTTTCTCCTAAAAATGAATATATGAAAACTTACAAAAGCAGTTTGAAACGATCGAGGACACAAACTGCAAGAGAAGGCTTCAAGTGGTTCAACTACGACAGGGTGAGGTGTTATGACAGGGGTTGAGTTCTTCTTTGGGCGTCCCCGACCTCGCTTGGCTGGTGTCACAGTTACTTCCTTGACTACAGTGATATCTGCTGGCAGTTTGACAGGCAACTCACTGCCATCAACTATCTCTGCAACTAAAAGGAACGTATGGATACAGTAAAATGTTCACAACGTGGTCTACAGCGTTGTCTCCTGATTTAGTAGATTGAAGTCAGGTGTATAGTATAAATCTTGGTGGGAGAGACCATCTAAAACAAGCGGTGGGCGGCACCACAAAATAGGAAGTTTCTTTGTGAGTTACACCTCAGGCATTTTGCTACTTTTTATTTAGGTGTTTTCTGTTTGTACAAATTTAATGAGGGAATGGCTATTTGTGTATTAAGAACACAAAGCACGTCATTGCTGCAAAGCTTTGTGGAGCGGCGCACATCACTTGTAACACATAAGATTTTTCCTACCACCATAATTAACTTATCACCACACACAGATTAACTTTTTAGTTGTATATAAAATTAATTTTATGTTGTTTGATTTTTTTAGGTTAAATGTTATTTGCTTACCGGTTTTTTTATAAAGAGACGCCAACATTGAAATGAGCTGATATATAGATTTAGCTAGTGCGGAAATGAGCTATTTTGCATACTGTTTACAGGTATGGGCAATGTGATCATTTCCATGCAGTGGTAGAAAACAATATAAAAGTAGCTCAGTGAAACCATAATTAACTGAAATAAAGGAAACAAGACCATTTCTAATAACCTATTTTTTTTTTTGTGAATCAATGGTTGGAACTTATTAATATAAAGGTTAAATCGGTTCAGAGATATAAATGAATATTTTTTTTACATTATTCAAACTAGGCCTTACTGTCAATTTGAAATGAACAATTGTGTAGCCAAAATATATTTATTTTTAAAGTAATAGCTTTGACTCCAATAGTCAATGGTAATAGGCAAATGTTTTCTGAACTTACTCTTTATCAAAGTAGCCTACCTATGAGTAATGTGTTGTAAACTGCTCCATTACTTTCCGTTGGCAAAGCTGGGCCAACTACCAGCACCATGACAGGTAATTTCCATTAAATCTAGCTAATGTTTCAATTGGTTTTCGGTTTGGGTATCCGGGTTTTGTTTGATATAACAGGGGTTTACTGCACTTTGACTAAAATAATCAAAATATATATATACTGGTCTTAAATGGTTAAAGCTACTCCTACAACTGTGTCTCATTGTATTAAATGTGTATCACTTACTATGAGAGTAGCTCAAGAATGTTTTAATATTTTATAACAACAATCGTATTGCACGACTGTATGTAAATATCATTTCATTTTTGGGCTTGAAAATGTCCAAGTAACAAACATCAAGAATTTATATACTCTCAATACCATCGGGGTTTAGTTGGGTAAATCAAGGGTCCGAAACAGCCCATTTGTATTGTTAAGGTTTGACTACAACATTTACGGCTAATTTACAGTTTAATGTTTTCACAGGTGTAATAATCCACTGTATGTAGACCTACATATAGAATAAACAACGGCACAATATATATTTAGCCTATATGAATACACAGTACAGAACCTTCAAACTCAATATGGTATTGTTGTTGTACCAACCTACCTGTTTCATAATCTTCAGAGGAAGGTTCAATTTCAGTTGAATTTTCAGGGTTTTCCTGATTAAGAATACTCTCAGCATTGGTGAGATCTTCTTCTGTAATTTCATCAAAATCTTGTAAAATTTCAAGTTTTGTGACCAATCCACCTAAAACATTGAAAGTATCAGCAAAACAGTTCTTGATAAAACTTAGATTAGACTACACAAAAAGGTATTAGATGTTCAACAATTAGATGTCTGAGGGATTTATCAACCAAGCATGTTAGGCCTACTCATAATTAACAGCTCTTGAGAAGTGACTATCTCTTCCCTAAGTCCCCTAATGGAGTCAGTGTACAAGGGCAGGTTAATTATTTGTTTATATAGGCTGATACATTTTAGTTGTATTTTAGTCAATTACTTAATGTAGGCAAGAGAATCAAGAATCAAGAATATTTATTTGCCATTAAATAACAGAACGTTACAATAGGCATCGTCAGTGCAAAAATACATCACAGTCAGTCTATAATACAATCAGTCTTAGCGTCCAAAAATTCCTCTACAGTGTAGAAAGCCTTACTTTTTAACCATTTTGTAATTACACAATTAAATTTCTTATTAGGCAACAGCCTCACTCACAGTCTCTGGCAGTTTATTGAAGAACAACAGTTGTTGGTATTTATGGCTCTTAAAGTACTTGTGCAGTCTAATATTAGGTTTAACAAGATTACCTCTATTTCTTGTGTCATGATAGTCACCCGTCTCTTTACACATTTTTGTCTTTTTTACAGCTAACAAAACCGTTCTTTTCATTCAAGTAACCACCGATTTCCTGCATTTATCTTTACGTCACAATTTTAATCATAGCATATGTTTAAAATCGAGCCAATATAAACACAGTAGAAAGGAAAAGATTCAGATGATGACCCCTGATTAATCTTACTAACATTATAAATGTGAAAGTTTGTGTGTTTGTTTACTTAATGTAGGCAAGAGAATCAAGAATCAAGAATCAAGAATATTTATTTGCCATTAAATAACAGAACGTTACAATAGGCATCGTCAGTGCAAAAATACATCACAGTCAGTCTATAATACAATCAGTCTTAGCATCTAAAAATTCCTCTACAGTGTAGAAAGCCTTACTTTTTAACCATTTTGTAATTACACAATTAAATTTCTTATTAGGCAACAGCCTCACTCACAGTCTCTGGCAGTTTATTGAAGAACAACAGTTGTTGGTATTTATGGCTCTTAAAGTACTTGTGCAGTCTAATATTAGGTTTAACAAGATTACCTCTATTTCTTGTGTCATGATCATGAACTGATAACTGTTGATTAAAATTTTCTAAGTTAGATTTTACAAAAATAAGATTGCTGTGGATGTAAATACAAGCAAGGGTCATTATATTAAATAGTGGAAAAATTGTTCTACAAGAGTCTGAAGAGTCTAGCCCAGCCATAACTCTGAGAGCCTTTTTCTGCCATGTGAAAGCATCTATGGCAGAGGGTGAATTGCCCCAAAGCTTTATTCCATACAATAGATGTGTGTGGAATAGACCAAAGTAGGTCATAAGCAACACATCTTCACTGACACAAGTTTTCAGTTTTCACAGTAGACACACTACTCTTGACAGCTTTTTACATAGACTATTTACATGTACATCCCATGAGAGTTTACTATCTAAATAGATACCTAGTAAATTAACAGGTTTAAATAAATCTTCATCACAGTTAATATCTATCACATTTTTCAAAGAAAATAAAATATGGACGGTTTTGTCATTGTTTAAAACTAGGTTATTTGCTGAGAACCACTCTTGGGCTTGTGCCAGAGCTCTATTCTGTTTTATCATAACATTTTCCAGATTAAGGTCAGAATGAACAAGGGTTGTATCATCAGCGTACAGTATTGACAAGGCAGAGACATTACAGCTTAAGTCATTCACAAAAACTAAAAACAAAAAAGGTCCAAGTACGGATCCTTGTGGCACTCCGGCATGTATATTTGCAAAGTTTGAAACCCTATTATCTAAACTAACAAATTGTTTTCTATTACTAAGGTAACTTTCAATAAGTTTCAACTCCATATTTCCAACCCCATAAAAGTCTAACTTCTTACATAGAATAACATGTGATACAGTGTCGAAGGCTTTACTTAAATCTAAAAGGCTTGAACGCTTACTCTCAAAACTATTCAAAATGTGATTTACGACAGATTCTACGGCTGTTGGTTTCTTGTAGCCCTACAAGCAAACAACTTGCCTTAGAAGAAAGGGAGCAAAATTAAGCGAAGTGAAGTAGGAGGAGAAAAGGAAATATGACAGAGAACACCGAGAGAGAATGAAACAGGAAGGAAAATTTAAAACAGTTGCGGATACGACGGAAAGGGAACACTGTAAAATGAAGAAGTACTGGATAGAACAGAACCGAACGAAGCTCGAAAAAAAGAAAACAACTGCGGAGACAATGGCTATAAAAAGCAAGAAGAGAAGATAAAACCACTGTGTTTGGAAAAATACAGGTAGAGACTCAAAAGAGAGAGAGGAAGAAATCAAAATCTAAAGGATCTCCCTGCCCGAAAAAACTTGTTGAAGAATTATTAGTTAAAGTTTTTGAAGGAAAAAGCAGCTTGGCTTTACAATTTTTTAAGGAGATAGAAAGGATACACAACTAACTTACCTGAATAAATGGTCCCAGGAAGTTAATAGAACACAAAAAATAACACAATTTAACTGATATTTTTCAAATCTGCACTTCAATTAAACTGCAAGTTTTTTTTTAAATTCCAACAGAACCTATCACACCCAAAATATAAATCCTACCTAAAATCCACAAAGGCACGAACCCCCTCTGGTAGACCCATAGTTTACGCTGGGGAGGCTGCGGCTCCCAAACAGAGAGGATATATTCTCTTACGTTGATTCTTTTTTACAACCACCGGTCCAAAACCTAGGCTCATACATACAAAATTCTAATTACTTCCTCAACAAACTCAACAGTAGGCTACACCCCAACCTCTACCAGATGAAATAATGAAATAATATTTTTTATTTCCCAACTGAAAAATACAATTCGTGGCAGTTTACATAACAAATTATACAATCCTTACACTTAAAAGTAACTTACAAAAGTACCTACTAAATGGCACAAGAAAAAAAAACCTTATCAAATTATATGGAAAAGGTCTACATAGGCAGGGGCCTGTGCGTAGACATGAGTTGTGGGTAGTTTGTTTGTAGATGGTACACTCTTTGCAATGATAGATTTAACCTCCCTTTATACCATGGCCTAACAGCATCAAAATACAGTAAACTCCCGGTTATCCGAGTCTCGGTTAACCAAGCCTCCGGGTTAACCGAGCCATTCATAAAAAAATAATAACTATAAATAAAGCCTAACTATAAACTATAAATATCGAGACAACTACTGGGAGGCGTGATGTTTAACAAGTGTGGTCGAGTAGTGGAAGTCTCCACTGGCTGTTGTTAGGTCAAGTAGTAGACTTCTCTACTGTATTTTAGTACTGTACTGGCTGTTGCTAGGCCGAGCCGTCGATCCGTAATGCACGAATACACAGATAATCAATCAATTCTAAGAACTACGGTAGCGCATGGCAACACTAAATCAACAGGTCGCAAAGCTCCCTAGGCATGACGTCATCGTAGGCGACAGCAACGACGTAATTTTTGCCGTATGCGATCAGCTGCTTGTTTTAATCTTTTCTTGGAAAACTAAAATGTAACTAAAAAAGTTATTACATAATTTTATTTCCGTGGCCTATGATGTCGTCATGTCTGAGGAGACTTACGGCCAATAGTAACTAAATATATTTAGTGTTGCCTTGAGTAGCGCCTGAGATCTTTACTGGCTGTTGCTAGGTCGAGCATTCTATGAATTATCGGTGCACTGGAAACCTGCGCTATCCAAGAATCTTCTCCAAAAAACTCCATCCCTATTATACAGACAACCTCTAAATCTAAAAAAAAACTTGCTTGTTCATCCTAAACTACTAGACACTTCAATATAACCATCAGAAAAACCTAGCCCCGGCTCTTACAATTGTAATGAGGAAAGATGCATTCACAAACCAGCAGAAACGTTATCCAGTTCTTTTAACAATAGACAGTAGAAACTCAAAGGACACCTTTCCTGCAACTCAGAAAACATGCACTTAAGATGATTGGAATGCACCCAATGACCTGTCCAATCAATCAATACATTGGCCAAACAACAGAAACATTACGAAAAAGAATGAATAGACACCGTCAAGACGTTAAAACCAACAAAGAAAACCCCATGGCACAAAATGCCCTAACCCACAACCTCCAATTTGACAGTAGCTATATTACAACATCTTTAAAATCCCTTCCAAAAAACCAATGCAGCTATGGAGGTATTCTATTCATAGTTCCCATCTCCTAAGCAAACTTAAACATGAGATGAACCCAAATTCCTTCCAAAATATTCCTCACCCATACAACTAACAACAGTAGTACAGTAAAAGCAATGGTGTAAAAAAAAAAATATATATATATATATATATATATATATATGTGTGTGTGTGTGTGTGTGTGTGTGTGTGTGTATATATAGAGTTACAAGTGATGTGTTGACAAGCCTGAGATACAATTAAAACAGTGCTAGAACTGTAACTGCCATTATTTCTCTGAAGAAGCCCATGAAAGGGGTGAAATATCAGTTAAACTATTGTGTTCTATTAACCTCCAGGGACTCTATTCAGGTGAGTTAGTTGTGTATCCTTCCTTTCTGCTTAACAAATAGTTAGGAATAAAGTAACTCCTAATGTTTGAAAACAACTCTTTCTAGGTTTTGTACTGCAAAAAAGCTAAGCAAACAAAATAAAGAGGTAGCTGGATCATGTATCCTAAAAATGTACCAGCAAGTATCGAAGGTCCTGGGCAATAAGTAATAAAGAAATATTGATTGCAAAAATATTTCAATCACTTAGCAGCAAAGGCCTACTAAATTAATAAACTATTAGCCGAATCTATAATACTTTCTTATTAAATGGTGACCATACAAAGTAGGTATTTAAAGTATGAATGGAGATGAGTGTAGGGTGAGTGGCGCGATCTTGTAGTCTTGTTAGTGACTAAGGCCGACATTCCTTAGACACAGCTGTTAATTAATAGCCCATACAGCTAATGGCAACTAAGGGACCTACAGTTTATAGTTGAATCCAATAGCCAGACAGAAAAAAGTGTCATCTCATGCCACAGAAGACAGTTGACCACTTTCTTTGAAAGTAGCAGAATGTGCCCAGGGGAAAAAGATGTAGTGAAAAAAAGGTGGCACTAGAAAATGCAAAGGAGGGTCTCCTTGAGCTGCTTCACGTTCTGAAAAGTGGTGCACAAAATCATCATTAAATATAGAAATAGCGTAGGGCCTACTCCAGTAGTAAAAAAAATAGCCTACTTAACTAAAGAATGATCAAAGTAGCCTACTTGGTGATTGATTATCTAGGCTCAAAGTAACTTAAAAGTACGCTCAAAGTAACTTAAAAGTACATTTAGCTCTGCTGTGTAAGGTTATTAATATATTATTACCTACCATAATATTTGCTTAAAATTATAAACACATATTTTTTTCTCTGTTACTCATATTGGCCGGTTTTTGAAAATCGACTGTTAAATGATTTCTAACAGTGTATTATCTCACGTTTGTCAAACGTGGCCACCTATCATAATGACTACGTCCTATCCTGTCAGTGCTGTATTTTTCCTTCCTGATTAACTTTTATTGTCAATCTTTAGAGTCCACTTTTTAAAGAAAATAGTTATTTGTGCAACCAGTTACCATAAAACAAATAAATTGGTAAAGAAACGTGCCTTCACGTTGCAAATCTGGAGTGAGACAAAGTAATTAGAGTGAGACAATGTTAACATTGTCTCACTGATGAGCGAATTGGCCACTTTGCTTTCTCAAATCAGTGGAGAACATGTACATTGTTAGGTAACTGTACGAAAATTAACATTTTTGTATAAAATAGTTCTAGTTTATAGGTGTTAAATCATGTGTTCTGTCTACGTATGATCAAATTTATTAATATAGATTGGTATGAGATAGACCTAACAAAATAGTAAGTACGTCATAATTTAATCGTCAACTAATCTTGAAGCTTACTGAGCTTAACATAATTATGTTGTTTTTTTCTCAACTTAGACCTAAGTGCAAATAAGATTCTTAGATTTGACTACTTTGATTTATCACGCAGTAAGTTAACCAACATATTACTCACTTGATTTGTTGTTTTGCCTCGTATAAGTTTTTAACTGTGCAGTGATTGGGGGTTTCACCCCATTTTCCTCAGTTTCTTCAATCTCTCCCTCCATGGTCTAAAAAAAACAAGATAAGTTAATAATCATTTAGTATTTTTCAAGTTCTATCATTAAATTGTACAAGCAAAAACACACTGTGGTAAAAAAAAAACCGCTAGGCTAAATAATTATCTATAAAAGTATGCTACCTAGGGACTAGGCCTATTCCTTGAGCATTTAAGTAATTTTATAGCCTAATATAAAGAATTTAAAGATAATGTTTATTTATTTATTTTATAGCACTTTATCCAAATAAAATTCTCTTTGCAGCAAACAAGCAAGACTATAGGCCTATTGTTAATTGCTGCAACAAATCTTTACATGTAGGCCAAGTGCTCCTTCTTGTCAGAATATCCACTATATGGTATCTAATAATTAAAAGTTTATAAGTTAAACCTTTACTCTAATCCATGGGTGATAGGCCAAACAGACCTGGTCTAATACAGCCAATTCCTTAAAGTTTTCTCCACAATTAATTAACAGTCAGTGGTGTCTGTATCAATGAGTAGGGGTCCATAGGCGTTTGTTTTGGAACGTATTTAGACAAAAACAGGGTTATCAACAAATAACTGTTTCAGTAGATATGCCAACGCCAGGGACATAAAATAGACAAAAAATAAACATTTAGGCTATATAGCAAATAATACTGGGAACGGCAAACAGCCATTTGAAATATTTTAATTAAGTATAAAATTATTTCAGAACGCATTAAAAAAGTCAATAGTGTATTGCACGGCTGTGCTGAGTTTTCTGTGCCACGCTATTAATTGGTCTGGCAGACACGCGGGAGCGTAGTGGGTAGTGGTGAACGAAGAAACACTGTTTAGGCTACACTTCATATGCCTAGGGATATTGCAATATTATCGATATCAATGCATATCGATATTTTCGTTTTGATATTTCCCATATTGTATCGATATTGGGGTTTTGATAATATCGTGATATCGGAAGAATTTTGTCGATATCGGTTCTCGATATTGAATTTTATAAGTTTAGATAAAGTTTTAGTGATATCGACATACCTCACGGCCGCCTTTTACTCCAGGCCGCAGCCTTTGAAGTGGCAACGTCACCAGTGGTGCTGTAACAGCTGTTTTGTTTGGAAGCAGCTAATGGTATTTGTGTATTTGTGAAAGATTGGTTACTGGACTATGACAATATTAACTCCGCTTAAAATGTACAGATCTAGATTTTTAATTCATATTGTTTCGGTTTTCCATTCTGTATGTTTTATTTTCAATATTTTAATAAATTTATGTTCATAAATTTAAATTTAAATCAATAGAGTGTGAATTAATGAGCTGATGTCACCTGTTTGTCATGTTATCTTATGGGACGTCTGTCACTAAACAACACCACTTACGCGACGTAGCCAATTCTACCAAGCCGCGGCCTGTAGTTAAAGGTGGCCGTGCATACCTTCTTATCGAGGTTATGTACAAGATAAAATCCACACTAATATGGGAATAGCTGGTTATATTTTTTGTGGTAGAAGGAACTAAGTTAGTAGCAACTGATTTTTATTGCTGGAGTGTTGGTTGCGCTACTGATGGGATAATCAAATACTTTTGAGAATTTGAATACTTAGAATTATTTGAATACTTGTAGGCTATTCGAATACTTTTATAGCAATATGGTGTAACAATATGGCAATTTCAATTTTCCCAAGTCTAGTTTTGTAAATCAAGTATTGCCATTCATGTATAAATACATTTAAATGAAAATAAATGTGGTTCAATTCTCCTCTAACATAAATAGGTAGGTTATATTTTAAAACAAACTAAAACCCAAATTAAATAAATTATTGTTCATTCTCATTAAATTACTGTAGGTAATGAGTCATTTAATATTGTTAAAAAACTAGACAAAAGTATTCATTATAGATTTAGTGAGAAGTGAATTTCAATTTTAAAACAGTGCGATTCATTACTTCATTGAATTATTTTATATAATAACTAATAAATGCTGGTAGTGTCCAAATTTAACATTTTAATGAGACAATTAATTAATTATTGATCCCTCCTGAGTCGGGTACAGTGAAGATTCCATTCCAAGTAAGTAAACTTATAAGTTGTTGTTGTGAAGTAAATTAAGCAAAGGTATTCATAACACTAGTATTCAGTGTATTCGAACTCGGAACACATCGGCCGATTTCGAATTCATTCATTCTGGCTATTCAAACTAGATTGGTTTGGCTTCAAAGTATTATTGAACCCGGCCGAATGTCAGTATTCGAATACAACCAGAAGTATTCAAATCTTTGAACATTTTGGTTGTATTCGAATAAGTACCTATTCGATTCTGTATTCGAATGCCCCATCACTAGGTTGCGCTGTCAGCTGTCACTTGTTAGTTGTCAGAGCTCAAGAGCATTTGATTGAGCTGTTGTAGGCTATAATAGCCTATACTAAAGTCCACCAGTGCTAGCCTTGTTTAAATTGTTGTAAATACGGTAATTATTGTTTTCATTGTAACTCCTAAAAAATAGGCTGGGTTTGAAATGCACTGTGGATTTTTATTATTAATTTTAAATTTCACTCCCTCTTTGGTGCTTTATCGATATTACTAGAGGCTGGAATCGTTATCGATATCTAATATCGATAGATTGCTGATATCGCAACAACCCTACATACGACACTACAGTGCTAGCTGAAAGGTTGAAAGAATGAAAGTGTGAAAGAATGAAAGTGTGAACAAAATACTTACTGTACTAAGTTAACTCATTTAAAATGGTATATTATTCTTTAATGCAAAAGTACGTACGTTTTTATTTTTGATTCATGCGATTTTTTCAATAAAACAGTTCTATAAGTAAACATATTTGTTTCCATTTCAAAGCCAATAGCATGTGTCTCAAGTGGATCTGACTAAAAGTGTTAGGCCTAATGAAAAGTGTTATAAGAGCCCTTGTATACAGACGATTTTGTGTGCTGTTTCACGCCGCAAAACGTGATAATTAATGATTGTATAAAAACGTCGCACTCCGTGTATCCAGTCAGAATCACGTTTTGCATAAAAACGGCGCAAAAAAACCTCCGTTAAAAGGGCTTCAAAAGTTATTAAGCTTAAATTTGTTGATGCAGCATACAATATTGCCGATTATTTTTCTACAAAATCAACTGACATGACATGTGTTGGCCATTAGGGTGATATTAGTGAGGTCGGGGAGTGCGCTGAAAAGTGAGGGGGGGGGGCACACTTCATTGCCTAGAAGCGGCAGATACCGGTACTTAAATTCTTTTTTAATGGTTTTAATCTGCCCCATTTCAAATAAGTTACGCATTAAGTTATAACTGGCGATTCAAAGGCCTAGCCCTTGGTACAAAAAAAAAAAAAACAAAGGCAGTAGGCCCTAAGTTACATAGCATATTTAAAGTTAATATTCATTTGACATAACAGTAATTGCAGCACTTATTCAATTTCTGTTAAATCACAAACTCGTGCAGAGTAACCAAATTTACACAAACTCAGACCCAGCCACCATCAGTCAGTTAAGTCAGAAATAACTTGTAGGCCCTAACTCGAGTCAGTGGCAGCTTTAGAGTTAGGTCAAAAAAGTGATTACTTGACTAAGTTAAGTTAACTTATAGTCACATCAATAATTTAGAATCTTCAGATAACTTAGGTAGGAAATTATCCTAACTTACCGGTAACTTAATTAACTTAAACTTAGGCTAAGTTATAGCAAATAAGAGCCTACTTAATTAGTTAAGGAGGGTTTGAAACTATTGATTCGATGAGTAGTAGGCCCTTAACCTTCTTTTCATTAAGCCTAAGTCAGTTATCAGCAAGTTTGGTTGGTTAGGTTAAGCTAACTTATAACAGTTTCATTTTTATCTAAGTTTCACCCTCCGAGTGTCCATAGTTTAGGCCTTAATGTCCGCCTATTTTTGGCGCATTTGCAAGGTTTTATTAAAACCGATCTGAGAAGCTTAAAACAATGTTAATTCAACTGTTCTAGGCTATATACCATTTTGTTTGGAAAATCATGGGCTTCAATATTATACATAAAACATAAGGAACATTTGTTTCAAAAAATTTTTTTAGGTAAAAAAAAAATATTTTGGAAAATTTTAAAAAAAAAATAAGTTCGCGCTCAATGAAATTGGATAAATTATAGGCCTAGGCCTATAAATATTTGAAAATAGCCACTTTGTTCTAAATTTTATGAGGATTACAAATATATAAGTAATAATATAAGGAAGTAGATTTGCAAATAAATAAGTTATGGGCAAAAAACAGATTTCAGTACATAGCGTTTAGCTAAGAATGCATAGCCTAACCATAGCTAGGAATCTGGCTGATAATTTACATCAATATCACTACCTACTTCTTCAGGATCATCAACCAGCCCTTCAAAATCACTTAAATCTTCTTATAACGCACCACGTATATCACTACTTTTGATTTTTAACACTAAAACAATGATAAACGTAATAAAACACATCAGTCATCGGTCCGAGGGTAACCTAGCTATTTACAAATACGCACGTCAGCTGTCTGCTACAATTACGATCGGCTCGGAGAACATACAGCGCTGAGACAGACCTCTGGAGAAAGCTTAGAATATAACGAGAAGAACGATACCTAACTCGATCCAGTTCAATCCGATTCAGTCAGTCATAGAGCCTTCGCTGTAAACGATGTTCGCGCGTCGAAAAATCATCGCGTGACACTACACAAAGTGTGTCGCACGTCGATTTTTCGACGAGTGACACTCGGAGGGTTAACTAAGATAAAAATATTGACTATCAATATTTTCAATCAATAGATTTAATCGGTTATTAGGGTAGGCCTGGCCCAGGAAACTGTACGTTGCCCTTCAAATTATAACTTAAAATACAGTGCATGTGAAAATGTACAGATTCTTCTTAGTTTGTCAATTCATTTACCTAACACTAAAATGTAAAGTTTAGTAGGCCAAGCCTAACAAAAGAGAGGGACACCCCACAAGTGGAGCAGTGTGAGTGATGATTACAAATTGAATCAAACACTAGGCTAGGATTAGGCCTTTGGGAAGTTTTTAAGACAAACCTTTTATTGGCTATTTCAACAATAGATGTTTGGAAAATCATCTTAGCCTATATCCTACCTATGAAATAACCTGTCTTGGGTTCTCCTTGATTAGTCTATTTAAGTATTGTAAGGAAGTGAAACTTTTAGGCTAGGCGTAACTAAGTCCTACCCTAGGCCTACGTTCGCTTTGAATGTTTGAGAAATGGGTAAAACTTATCAAAGAAATAACTTGAATCAGTAATTTTCTTATTCCTGATTTTTCATAAATCGAAAAGTATGGATGAAATTGATAACGCTAAGCCAAGAAGCAACTGGTGGCATATCATCAAAGAAATTAGGTAATAGGTTGAAACGCGTCAATGGGATAAATGGCGGAGCAATTCGCTGCAGCACACAGTGAGTCTTTCAACATTAACAACACGTTGCATGAAAAAAGACTATGATGAAACGTTTTCACAATTTATTGTTAAAGAGAAAATTTTATAATGCATCTTTTATCCCTGAATCTGAAATAATAATTACCTCGAATAATCCAAATAAAAACTGCGCCTTCAGACAACAAAACGTAAAACTATTAACATAGATGAATGCAAGAATGCCGAACCCGAACAGCCTTCTTGTACAGAAAGAAGAAACTTCAAGTTGAAGTTGAAGACGCCATAGAGCAAGAAGAAGGCTAGGGTAGCCTTTACGTGAAATCTAAATGGTTAAATAGTATTGATCATTGATCATATATAGACTTCGAACAACACAAGCATGGATTAAAGGTCTGGCCTAAACCCAAGGCCGCTTTTAACTCCAGGCCGCGGCCTTCGAAGTGGCAACGTCGCAAGTGGTGTTGTAACAGCTGTTTTGTTTGGAAGCAGCTAATGGTACTTTGTGTATTTACGAAAGATTGGTTACTGGACTATGACAATATTGACTCCGCTTAAAATGTACAGATATAGATTTTTAATTCATATTGTACCGATTTTGTTGTAAAAAGGCAACAAATCAATACAGGGTAACGCGAAGAACAGTCAGCTGGTTTAAACAATAGATCAGTATAGACCAGAATGCACCACGCACTAAAGCAGGAGAGGGGAGAAGTCTAGCCGGGTGGTCATTTGCTCCCACGAGTTGCCAGTTCCTATCCAAATCTCATCGTAACTAGTTCGGTAAAATTGTTTTTCGTTCGTGGAAATTAAATTCATCTCGCGGCGTTTGGTCGGGCAATCTTAAATTTCCTTAAAGTCGTACAGCCTATATCCCTAAGGGATATAATTGCCCCGCGATTGGAAATTAGAATCAGTGTCATTGTCAAAAAGTGAAAAAGTTCGTTACCGACCAACGCAGTTCCGCCATTTGAAAATTACACGTTCGTTTCACGAGTTCAATTCATCGCGTCTTGTAGAATACCGGCTAGTTACATTTCCCAATCCCTTCCCCTTTATTTGTGTTATATTTGTGGACGTCCAAACTGTAAGTAATTTGTGTTATTTATTTGTTAATTTAAGATTTCAGTGAGTCGCACTTTTGTAAATTTTTCCTGTCTTGTTTTGTCATTTCATGTAGAATAAGCACATGTTCACAGGTTCGAATTCAAATCACTGATTTTCATATCCATTCATATTGTAGCAATCCGCTTTATTAATTAGATTGTAATAATCCTATAGTATTAAGAATAAATAGGTGAAAATGTTTTTATAGGGCAATTCAGAGTTATTTAATAAGATTTTTATAGTGTTGGAATTTTTACACAGAGTCATTGTTAGTTTTCATTGTTGAGCAAATGGTACAATTCCTTTAAAGAGTGTCACAGTCAGTATCTTTTGGGGGAAATAAATTATTATCAGAGGAGGGAGCAGGTAGCTGGTTCGATTGATACGGAAGTGTTGTTGGAGGTTGTGCCAGTTTGAACATAGATGAACCACCAAAGTACCAAATTAGCTATAAAATAATAAAGCAACATTCTGATAAACATTACTACGATTGAATACAATATTGTTCAATCAGTTGGACTGCGAGACGACCTTCGTTTTTAATCGTTGGCCAACGAAAGGATTTGCTTGGTACAGGTCATCTCAACTATTAGATTAAATACCACTCTTCCATTGATACTTTCGAGATCGGTGTGAAACCGCACCATACCTCCCCTTTGATAAATCCATTCAACAGTTTCAATAAATTTCCAACTGATTGTGTATCTCAAGGTCATTTTTATTTAAAAGAACACAACAACGACTGTAAACTGAAACAAGTGTATTTATTAAATTCTGTGCAATAAATTCAAATTGTTACTCACTTTTAGTTCTCAATAACCTTGGTATTTTAGTATATGCAATAGTATTTAATTGATAAACAAAAGGTAATTCAGTAAATCATAAGCCACTACAAAAGATTCACCTTTTAAGTGCAACACTAGTCACTAGTGTAGTAGTGAGCAAGTAAATTCAGTGTAGAATTAAGACTGGTAAATTGATCTCATTAAAGGTATTACTTTATTGGAAGAACTACAAACAGTGCCAGGGGCGCCCCCTAAGGACCTTTGGGGAATATTTATATTTTGCAGGGTCCACTCATATTTTTCAATAACATCAAGCTTCCACTGCCAAAAAGCTCTGTCTGATATTTTTATTTTCTAGAGTTCTTCCAACCTAGGGGCAACCAACATTTGTAAAGAATTCATTAAAGAGCATTGCAAGGAGTAAATATATTTAAATATAACATTTAAATATATGAGAGTCTAAGTCAGAGTTTCCTTTTCTTTTTTTTCTTTACAATATATAGACTTCGAACAACACAAGCTTGGATTAAAGGTCTGGCCTAAACCCAAGGCCGCTTTTAACTCCAGGCCGCGGCCTTCGAAGTGGCAACGTCGCAAGTGGTGTTGTAACAGCTGTTTTGTTTGGAAGCAGCTAATGGTACTTTGTGTATTTACGAAAGATTGGTTACTGGACTATGACAATATTGACTCCGCTTAAAATGTACAGATATAGATTTTTAATTTATATTGTTTCGGTTTTAAATGCTGACTTTCAATATTTTAATAAATTTATGTTCATAAATTTAAATTTAAATCAATAAAGTGTGAATTAATTAGCTGATATGTCACCTGTCTGACATGTTATCTTATGGAATGTCTATCACTAAACAACACCACTTGCGACGTTGCCAATTCTACCAGGCCATGGCTTGTAGTTAAAGGTGGCCGTGCTAAACCACGGCTGCCTTTAACTCCAGGCCGCGGCCTTCGAAGTGGCAACGTCGCAAGTGGGGTTGTAACAGCTGTTTAGTTTGGCAGCAGCTAATGGTATTTTGTGTATTTACGAAAGCTTGGTTACTGGACTAAGACAATATTTCTCCGCTTAAAATGTACAGATATAGATTTTTAATTTATATTGTTTCGGTCTTCAATTCTGTATTTTTTATTTTCAATGTTTTAATAAATTTAGGCCTATGATCATAAATTTAAATTAAAATCAATAAAGTGCGAAATAATGAGTTGAAGTCACATGTCTGCCATGTTATCTTCTAGCACGTCTATCACTAAACAACCCTACTTGCGACGTTGCCAATTCTACCCGGCCGCGGCCTGTAGATAACTCCAGTCCGCTGCCTTCGAAGTGGCCAAATCGCAAGTAGTATTGTAACAGCTGTTTTGTTTGGAGGCAGCTAATTTTTGTGTATTTTAGCGAATTTCCCATATAGGATTAGCTATTACCGTAGTACTCATGGTAAGACCCACGAATACTAGAAAGACCTGAAGAATACGAAAGCTTTAAATGTACAAAAATATTTTTTTCATTTTGGTTTTCCTCTCTGTATGTTTTATTTTCAATCTTTTGATAAATTTAAATAAATAATACGTGAATTAATGAGCTGATGCAAGGCCACACTAAAAACACTTTTTTTTTGTGTGGCCTTGGCTGATGTCACCTCTGCCATGTTATGCTTATGAGACGTCTGGCGCTAGACAACACTACTTCAACGTTGCCAATTCTACCAGGCCGTGGCCTGTATAAAAACACTTTGATATACTGAATTATTTGTTTTTTGAACTCTTTAAGAAGGTCAAAAAAGAAACTGGAAAATTTTATCTTTAGAGGGTCAAATATGAGAAAACCTAATTTTTACCCCATTAAACCACGTTCCCATGGTCCGATCATGCTGGTTCACGAACTCATTCAAGATTATCCTGCCTTACATCTTCAACCCAAATTTCATCAAAATCGGACATAAATAACTCAAGTTATCTTGTTCACGGACACACACACACACACACACACACACACACACACACTGTATATACATATATACAAATTGAACGAATGGTGTTTTTGGCCTCTATGGGGACATCAAAATTAAAAGTAAATCGGTCCCGGGCCTAGATCTTAACGTGCCACCTATGGTAATAGCTACTTCCTTATAGGGAAATTTGCTAAAACGGTTTCGTTTCGAGGTAATTTTTCACAAACTTGATAAATTTGGACTTCCGCACCAATCGAAAACTTTCCGGGAGAGCATTGTAAAACTGTATAAACCCCCCCCCCCCCCCGGGATTAAAACAGGAAAACAGTTATTAGTTTTACTCAATCTTTTGCTACTTATATGTATATTGTTTCTATTTCTAGTTAAATATGAGTGGACATCCTTGTTGCAAACAAGATCATCTTCCATGTCCTTAATAGCTAACAAACATTGATAAATATTGGAATTCAAAACAGTCATAATGCGGAGTTCAGTGAACAAATTCTTACAATGCTCCAGATAGAACCTGGCATATTACCCGGATCGCATTTTTCTGATGGAGCAGTACCGTACTTTCTGAGCAAGTGGAGAGTGACCTTATAGTGTGCCATATACAATAAGGGCCTGGGAAAAAGAAAAGAAAGCAAATATAAGAAAGTTAAAAGGTAGTTCAGAGGTCAAATTCCTCAAAAGATGCCTTACTCTACTTAATTTTACACAAAGTGCATTCATGTGGTCACCCCACACAAGCTCGTCCGAATTCATGGTGAAACCTAAGGCTAAACATGATTTCTTGAGTTTTGGCTGCGTTCAAAGCCGATTTATTTCCATTAAACCGTTGAGACGTTTCATTTAACAATGTGCTAACAGAATCTTTTACCATAATATGATCAATATGTCTAGCAAAAAAGTGGTATCATCCATGTACATCAATATAATCATTTGAGATGCCATAATACAAGTCATTCATGGAAACAATGAATAAGAAAGGCCCAAGGACTGAACCCTGGGGGACTCCATATGCTTAACAGCTCGAGCGTTTGATTTTTCCCCATCCCAGAGGATACAATACCTTAAACCTATTTCCAAGGTAGGACACAAACATTTTGAGCGCATAGGCTCCAAAAGCTTTGACAAGCTTGAAAGCTTTGACAAGTAGATCAGGTGGCACACAATCAAAAGCGCGTGACAGATCACATAAAACAACAGAGGTTGACATTTTGTCTTCAAAAGCATCAAGAATAACCTGCAAAAGGGAGCCCACCGCAGTGACGTGGACTTACCCTCGGAAGCTGTGCTGAGCAGGGACTAGTAGGCTATGAGTTTCAAAGTGCTCACTTAGCTGACTTTAACATTAAGGCTTCAAATATCTTGC